TTTTTTTTTTTTTTGCTGCTACTACTGATGTTCAAGCAAGACGACAACAGGTCAAAGTTAGTGTTGAACAGTATACCAGAAGGTTATGCATCTGTGGTGTCTGAGTGTGTATGCATTTTTCAGACTGCTTAGTTAAACGATTCTAAATCGGCTTACGTACTGTTCGTATTTGTCGCAGAATGCCGTTATTTTGCTGCTGTTTTTAAACTGTTACTGCTATGACAAACCAAACTGTGAAGAAAGTGCAATTTTTTCTTTCACAAGTTATCCTTAAAGTACGCTACTTGATACGGCTAAAAAAGAGAAGGAATAAAACGAATGAGTGAAACAGCAACAAAAAAGAACGTTTGTTCTAAAAAGAACGAAGGAAAAAAAAAAACAGAAAACTGGTGACATTTTCTATGACGGCATAGGCTGAAAGTCCGGTTCAAACTACTGTAAAATTGATGGATGAAGACAGCTGATTATGACCCGATGATCAATGCTCCTTTATTTTTTTGAGCTTAGGTCGAGTGGGTTTCTGATTCTCGGATTTTTTCTTTTTTTTTTGGATACACAATAATGGAAAACGAAATGCCAGCAACTTTGTGACATTTGCCTTTTGTTAAGAAGTCGTCTTTTGACGATCCGTTTCAATACCCCCTTTGTGTTGAAATCTATTCAGCAATTTTTTCCCCCTTTTTTAATTGTATCCCAATAACATTTAATTCAACAGCTTTATGCAGTGTGATTTATTGTTCTTCTTACCATGACTCTCACTAACAGTGTTGTCGACGACCAATGTATGGTTTACCTTACATAGACAATAAAACGGTTTTTATTCTAAGGTCTTTTTTTCAGTATTTTCACTCTGTGTTACGTCGCACAAATGTCGTTGCTGATATGTTGTTGCACGATGTTTAGTTACAGTACATTAATTTATGTGACAGAGGAGATGAAGGAAAGAAGGAATAAAAACAAAATAGAAAAGTTGATGGCGCACAGCGGATCGGGGCAATATAGGCACTGAGAACGGGATAGATTCAATATTCTGTTGTTCAACTAGGAAACTAGTTTTTTAACGGTCAAAAAGAAGGAAGGTTTTTTTTACAAAAAAAAAAAAGGCCATTCCCAGGCTTGGAGTGGTCCTAAATTAAGGATTTGAACTATGACCGTGAAACAAAGGCTCATTTAAATCCACTTAAAAATACTTAGAA